TGGTCAACTCATGTTAATATGCTCAAGGCTGAACTGTCCCGAGTTACTGGTAGCATATACAAAGTGCACAGTTTACTACCGACCTGGCTTAAACAAACATTATACTACTCTCTATTTTACTCAAAAATGAGCTATGGCATCTTGGTGTGGGAACTACGACATAAACTAATTACAACAAACTAATTATCTTGCAGAAAAAAATCTTGCGTATGTATGAAAATTATGAAGGAGACAGAAGAAATTTAAGCATGCAACCACTTTTTAATAAATATAATATGCTAAAAGCAGATCAAGTATTCTATTTCATATTATTACAATTGATACACAGAAACAAGCTCCACACTACACCAACATACAATCTGAGCACGTACAATATTCGAAACCCAGTAAGGAAGATGCCGGCAATAAGAACTAACTATGGCCGACAAAGGCTAAATTTCCAGATAAATACTCTGAATAGAAAAGGCATGTCCGTAGATTTCCATAAACCTTTTAATAGCTTTAAATGTGCTTGTAGAAGGATGCTCGTGGCAAGTGAAATTACTTTTTCATCTTTGTTAGTGCCGTAAACTTCATGAGTGTTATAAATATGTCTTATTTTTGTGCGTATTTCCATTCCTTGTTTCTTGATGTTTAAGTGTGAGAGAAAAACCTTTTATTGATTTTTTTATTAATACCACTGTGTTGTGGCAAATTTCAATGTGATGTATCGTATACTTGTATTTTTTACAGTCTACAACGGAAGCATGTCTTTGTTCCTGGTCGTTTTCGATGATCAGTGTCTTTTTATTTTTTAATTTCATTTCTCATGGTGTATGAAACTAATTTTGTATATATTTTTAGAATGTTGCACAAATGCTTCGGTCTATTTACTCCTAACAGACCGGGTTGGCAAATGGCGCATTTTGTTTCTCTGATGTATTTTCCACTGTGTTCTTGTACTGCACTGCTGAACTGTACCGGGGGGGGGGGGGGGGGGGGGGGGGGGGGGGGGCAGAAGCCCTGTCAGGCACAAAGCTCCCACGCGGAACTTACCGCGAAACAAATAAAACAAAAACAAAAAATCGGACCAGGGAGAAGAAATGTATAAGTGACACGTCCCTATCTTTATAAGTGAATTTTAATTTTTGAAACGCGGGCTGAGCAGATAGGGTAAACCGTGTGAAGTTTCAATAAACTGCAGTTGGGAGTGCGCCTTGTCCTATTTCCCTTCGTCTGTGTCCATGTATTTTTTTCCGCGCTTTTTGTTTGCAATGAACCAACTGGCCCAAATCTCCACTTTACTATGCTACAAGCACCAGCCTTTGGTCCCGACCAGCGCGCGTGCTTGGACGCTGAAAGCCCGGAGTTCGCTTTTTTAGTTTCATGCGCTCACACTTACAGTGTAACGAAGTATCGAGTTGAGAACTTCACATTTCAAAAGAAAACCGAACTGTTTAACATAGTTTGCACGTATATATGCGAGTGGTCAGAGATTTCTCTTTGCTGAGAAAATCAAACCCCGAGGTGCAAAATGTACGCTGCAGAAGGTTCGCGCTCAGTGCTACTCATGTTTTCAGAAACTAAAATGATTCTTTCTTGGTGCAGCGTGGTGAGGAACGGCGCGAGCGCCTGGCACCACGAAAACGCGCTTTCTGGCAGGAGTGATTTTGCGAACGAAGTAGCTTTGCGGGATCACGCTGTCTGCTCTGTGCCGAAGAAGCGGAGCGGAGGAACCTCTACAACACAGTAGGTTTTTAACCCCGCCCCCCCCCCCCCCCCCCCCCCCCCTTCTTTTTTTTTAAATCGGACGACGCTCCTTTAGAGAATACTTTTTATTTCTGAGGGACTCCCTCCTTTGTTTGGGGGTGCCAATTCGACAATTATATTTCTGCCATTTGTTAGCAGTAATTCTCCATTTCGTTTATTTTGCATCCAAAAACTGTGAAGTGTAAACAAAACTACGAGAATTTGAGCGGCTGCCGACTTTCGGCTGTTCCTCAAAGGCCATTAGAATCTTTCTTTTTAGGTATCCCTGCCATACACACTTGTAGTTCTATTTATCGTCAGATTAATAAGCCATATTTAGTCTTTTCAATGCTTCTATTCTCGTGGACAACTTTCTCAGACAGTTCAGCAATAATGAAAACATGTTTGAGTGCCTCCAATGATGTGTACATGTAAAATCGTTCATGCAACAGTTTTTGCACTTTCCGCAAATACCACTAAGAGGTAATCCCTGACGTTGTTAGCTTGCAAAAACACACAATAGTTTTCCTTTCTGCTCAATGGCAGAAGCACAAAAAATAAAGAAACAGCTTTCCCTTCCTCAACTCGTTATTAGAACAGGCGGCAATGTGATCTGACGCTAATTGTACCTATATTGCCAGTGTTCATCATAGTCATGCGCTGGGGTTGGCAAAGAATAAAGCATTGGTTAAAATCTAGGCTTTATTAGAATTCGGCTATTCTCATCTTTGATTGAACACGAGCAAACACGAATGGTTGGCGACGCTGATTGTCAAGAACCCGAGCACTCGGCTCAGGCCAGTGGGGTAAAGGTGGGTGAGGAGGAGTGGCAAATCCCGTGCGCCGACACCCGGGGTCCCGAGTGAACGATCGCAAAAGAGAGCGACAGAACACGAGAGAAAGAAAGCAACGTTGCCATGGTAAACGCGAAGAGTGAAAACTCTCAGCAATATAAACAGTGGTAATTTAACGTTGTAAACTAAATTCTGAGCTATTCTAACGCTTATAAAAAGCAATAAAGTCATTACGCTGCATTAACTTCCCTTCTGTCGAAATCTCGGAAATCTGGTGGTTGCGCAGTTTCGTATTCCTCAACCGCGCCCAGCCGCGCCCCACCCGCCCCACCGGCGAAGCCGGGTATATGGTTTAGTTTAGCGTTAACGCGAGGCCGTACATCTGCGCGCTATGCAAAAAGAAAGCTTCGAAAGGAACGCGAATATCTTTCCACCGGTAAGTTCGTGGATTGTTGAAGTTCACGAAACTGCTCTGATGATGTAACTGTGTTTGGGACCCCGAGGGTCTGCCTGCATGATCCGCCGCTTGCGGCAGCCAGAATGTATGGGAAAATGGCGGACCTTTTCCTCTAGAGTTAGTATGTATGATCTCTATGGCTCAGGCTCATGACAACCGAGTACGTCACGGTGTCGCACGACTCGCGGTGAAAAATTGTGATGGCTAATGCCCCTGAATAAAAAAGGTACACGACATATTCTCCCTCCTCCTATGACGCGCGACTTTTTTTTACACCCGCGCGTCGACTGGAGCGCCGCCAGGTTCCAAAAAACACTCGACCCCAGAGGCCACAAATCGTTTCCGAGCCCAGTCACCGAGTTTGAGGCTAGACTCTCACCGGCGTCCCTCCTAACCCTAACCGAGTGGACTGTGATTTCAATAGGCGCAGCCTGCGTAGGCGCAGTTTCAAACGCTGCTGGCGGCGGCTAAATTCTCGTCTTTTCCCGCTATATTTTGTGCTTCGTGGTCTATGTATTTTCCCGAGGACATTGAGAAAGCATTGTGCCACATTTTGAAAAAAAAAAAAATTATTTTTGTTGGGTACGCGCGACAGAAGGAATGCGACTGGAATGTATAGTTCTAGTTATTTGGTTTTTTCTTACGATAAGTTTTGACGGCGCCGCGGGATTCGCCGCATGTGAAACGACAAAGCGCTTTGCTGTCGAAAATAAATTGCAACAGAAGAGGGCCGAAAGGCACGCATTTTTCACGCTCACAAATAACGTGTTTACCGATGGACAGGACAAGGACATACAATTGAGGAAGTGTTAACATTCAAACAATATATCGTACGTACCACACATGCAGCATTATCCGAAAATAATTTATTTGAGAAAGATCTCAAATAACACAGTCACAGTCGACGACAGTCACATCTTGATGATCGGACGGAATCCAAGCCGACTTCGTCTTGGGGCACGTTTCGGAGAGAGCTTCCTTTTTTCACAACAGAACCCGGGCAAAGAAACAAACGCGACTGACCCGTTTCTCACCCCAACCCGGACAACTATTTTTGGAGATGACTGAGGATTCTACGCGGATTATCTCTGGGAGGGGGGAGAACAATGTTCGCAAAATCGCGTCGAGGGTCGGGTACTGACGAGGGTCGTTCGACGTCCTTCACCTCCTTCGTTTCCCGTGAATGTCGAGCAGAAAAGCTTGAATGGCAGGCACTTACCAGCCTTATTTCTCACAATGGAAGATAACACAAAAAGGGTACGCAGCACGCATAAAAAAAAATTAAGTGGAAACTTTCAAGAGGGGCGAGAAAACGTTGAATGCAAAACCGCAAAAACGTAGGTAAAGAACCGCGCTGAGCGGGTCTTCACAGTACCAGAGAGTGGCAGAAAATTTCTAGCTGATAGAGGGCGCGAGAGTCGCACCAGCCGCATCAGCATCAGCAACATGGCGGCGGCCTAGGAGCGTTTTTTGGAAAGGTGTATAGGGAGCGTGCGACACCTAAAGGAGGCGCACCGATCCAACTGATGTTCCCGCCAAACGACTCTGTTGGGAGCCGCACCGCGGCGGCAGTGTCTTGTCGCACGCTTCTCATTATCACTTCGCAGCCAATCAGATTTCGGCGTTACTTATTATGGAGGCCGAAGAAGGAATCGGGCAGCGCTTGAACATTATAAGCCCTGCAGTTCTTTGTCAGAGAGAACGGCAGGGCATATTATGTTCATGCTCTGCCCGATTCCTTACTCGGACCTCATTATTAGTAACGCCACAATCGGATTGGCTGCGGAGTGATAATGAGAAGCGTGCGACACCTAAGGGAGCGCGTCGATCCAACTGTTGTTCTCGCCAAACGACTCAGCTGGGAGCTGCACCGCGACGCCACTGTCTTGTCGCACGCTCCCTATACTTGTGTCAGAGCGCAGTCAAAGGCTGAAAGACACGCAAATACATACACACACGCTAAAAGCGCACTGTCAATGTCTACCAGCCTCAAAGGATGGTCTCAAAGAAAGACGATGAGAGCCGTGACGTTGCACAGTCGGTTTTATTTGATTAGTTACATGAGCTCATAGCATGCACTGCACTCCGACAGCATAGGCATTCCTTCTTCCTCCTCCTCTTACGAGCACACCTTTTAGCTTTACGTCTTGCTTTTTTATACCCTCGCGTCGACGGTACGTCCGCCTGGTTTGGCCCAAGATTGCAGGCGGCCTTCTTCAAAGGATGTCGCTACTTTTCTGTATAAATGGGCCTTAGTGATGGCATGTTACATCACGGTGTCAACAACGCTAACAGATCCATATTCCGTTGCAACTGAGGAAGGTAGGGCGAGGGAAAAGAAGGCCGGGGAGGAAGAAGCAGGCGAAACGTTAGAAGTAGACTTGACGCGGCGAGTAATGCGACTATGCCACGGGGTCACGGGACGTGACATTATATGACAGCATGTCTTGAAACCATGACGTCACGTGACGACGTGACACACGATTAATCGTGCCAATACAAAAGCGCTACGAAAACCCACAATTTCTTTATATTGCAATTCTGTTTATGACAATCTGATCACTACATAGCAATGCAGCTGCCAATTTTTACTTCTAAAACACTCATTTTGTAATTAAAAAAAAAATATCGTGAACCGTTTTGAACCGGTTACCGTTAAATTTTTTTCCGGTTCAGTTCCAAGATGGCGGCGAAGATTTCGGTTCAGTTCAGTTCCGGTTCGGCTAAAAATAAGGGTTCTGCTCCGGTTTTTGCTTCGGTTCGGTTCCGGTTCGACACTCTGCTGCCTGGTGATAGTTAAGGGGAAAAAATTGGTCTTAGGAGGGTGGGAGGTATATATTTGTTTTTTATATTTAGGCTGGGTGGTGCAAGCTACCGCCTGTTACAAAGGGTAATGACATTAACATCCAGCCATACAAACACCGACGAGCACAGCTGCTCGCGGTCAGTCATCGTTTACCGTCACCAGGCGGCGGGTCGTCTCTTCTCTCGGCGGGTGCCTCGACTCCATGTCCGAGATCCCGGCCGATCGTGACACTTAGTTTGCGATTGTACGTCTTCTAACGCTTGGTTGCACTATTACAGTGGGACAAAGCATAAAAGGGTGCCATTAGCATGCTGCAGATGCCATTGTCTTACTCCTGAGTTACAATATTTGGCAATTTGAAGAGAAATCTTCAACCTAAGCTTGGTATCCGACACATGCAAAGAAAAAAGTAACTTTATTGGTGCTAAGGTGCCCCTAGTCCAGAGCTCCTGACACATCTTGGCACATGCAAAGGTGTGCCAAGATTTTGCGAACACCATCTGCTAATCTTGGCAATAGTTCAAAACATGATTATGTAAAAACTATCTCTGGTCAGAACACATTCCTAAAAGTATACACCATAAAAAGTTACAAACATGCATGACTGTTTTCTTGAATTCGCGTTCCCGAAGATAGGCATGTTTTTGGATTATCACAGATGAATTCATAACTATCAAAACAATAGCTTGAAGCATGATGAAACATTAATTTTTATTATACTGTGCAATAGTATTTCTCTAGGAGCATCCACTACTTTTTATTGTTGGGGAGCTTTAGCAGATAGTTCCAATAGCTCCGATAACAATACCCAATGCTGCTCCAGTGCCTTTGCACATTCATTGTATCATTATCAGGTATTGTTATCAGTTATCGGAATAATCTATTAAAACTTCCTATTTCCATCTAAAAGTGAACATGTGAGGCCACAGCAGGAGCGGTACATAAAAAGACACAGACAGCACCCATTGCTGTTTACAAACAGGAACTGCCGCTTGCATCCCAAATGAATTCCGGTTGCTCAGTCTTTGCAAGCCTGTTGAGCTTGCTTGTGTCACCAGTGCTAGAAAGCATAAATGCTACACGGACAACAAAGTTGGAGAATTAACGAGGGCCTTCGGTTGTACAATTTAACGTCTTGGAGGGGGCAAGTTGGCTTACAAGAATATTCAAAAATTTTTTAACAGATCTTGCGCTTCTGATCCTTTTGGCGTTCACCTAGAAAATTGGTTGGTTAAACATTTCATCGACATTTCAAACAGCAATGTTAAGGTGGGCAATGTTCGTTCTTTTTATGAACCGTAAGTTCTCTGGGACGTCAAAGACTGGAGCACATCCTGGTGGTCTATACTGCAGCGTATCACAGTGCAAAACACCCAGAAGTTCCTACGTGCTTCTTCTTCCCACAACAACCGCTGACATACTGACTTATAAGAAATAAACTATCACAGGTTTTGCAGTCATTTACGATAGACATACAAGCTCTGGCAATATAGGTCCTAACAAACTGCACAAGCTGACTCTTCCATAATGTTGGTTCATGTCTGATTTGAATCCAGTTCCACTTTGTATAATGGGAGGATGAGGTGCACATCATAATCAGGTTATGGAAGAAATTCAAAGACAACATGAAATCAAGTGCCTCACCAACAAATAAATACATAAAAAAAAAAAAAAAAAAAAAAAAAAAAAACAGAACTGAAACAAGTCGTTTGAAGACCAGAGGTTGGTCAAATACTAAAACATTTGTAATGCCAGAAAAAAATATCCGGAAGCCTGCGTCACCAGTCGAAAGTGCCACCCTTTGCCTGTGTTGCTGGAGTTGACTCCTTCCCAAGAGCAGCAAACTGGAAAGAGCAAGAGCATCATAACATATCTGACAGTATCCTCTGGTCTCATTACATCTTTCCAGTCAAACGAAGCAAATGGAAAGAAACAACTTAGGAGGTCAGCTTATCTGTGGATTCCCATTAGTGAAAGACAGCAAACACAATGAATTTGTAAATGTTAACATTATATTCATCAAAATTAAGGTAAAGTTTCTTTCAAGTGTTTACATTCTAGCAGAGCATGTAGGGGCCAATTATGGATATCAGAGGAAAGGGTTCAGCGAAAGACATTACAATGAGTACAACATTCACATGGTCCAACTCAGAATAACAGAAATTTGACTTTTATGGCTGAACACTATTGACGTCTTATCATTCACTGTTCTCCTTCCATAAAGCAAAACAATTGGATCTATCTCTGCTCTGCTGGAAGGTTGGAGTGTTGTCTTTGCTCATTAAAGGAACCACCAAGGTGTCTGAAGTCAAGTTTTACAAACTGCATGTCGTGAAACGTAACAAAAACTCAACAATCTATAAAAAAAAAAAAAATCTTTTTATTTTTAATGTTTATTACTGATTTTGCAAGCCCCAAAGGATGACATTTTAATGCGGCTCATGGAATGGATATAAGAACTGCATCACTGTCTGGCATGCGTTTGGGTGCCCTCAGTGAATGCCTAGTTGTGCTGGCAAAGATTTAGGTTCGCGTTCGTGACTAATCACTGTGGTGACATGATTAGAGCATTGCACACTCAGGTGCATGGTTGTGATGAGTATTGGCAGCACAAACCTGCAGCAAATGCATAGCAGCAAGCTCTTACAACAGGTTAAGAAGGCTAATAAGGATTCTTTTTCTCCTATGTTTTGTGTGCCACTTAGCGCACAGAGCGAAAACATACAAGTGTACCGGATTACTACAAGGACTATTACGAACATTAAGGATTAGTAAGTCTAAAAAGTACTTAGCTAAAGTGAAAAAAATAATTTCATTGCTCAACCTAATTTCAAACCTCGACCTAATTTGTGATAAATACATGGTCTCTAAAAATTGAGTAATGAAATATAAATATGAAGCCTTCAAAGATTAGTGAAGCTAGCTGTTGAAGGTTTAAAAGTCTTCTGAAAAGGAGTACCTATGACATACTTTTCGAAATCTTCCTACCAGCTTTGACTGATTTCAGATTTTACCTCAGTCTTTCAAAAGCATCAAATGAGATTAATTCACCATCTAGAGTGCATTACAGGAGGGGGTATGTATAAAAAGTAATAGCAGCACTTCAGTAGAAGTAATCCTTGGCACTAACAAAGAGGACATTCTGGACTGCTTTATTGAACTTGGATGACACAATCTCCTCACCCTGGCCCTGTCCTTGGAGCTTTTTCCCACTCCCAGCCTGGGCACACCTCGGTTGAGGCCCTCCAGCATGACACACGCCTTGCACACCTCCTGGCTCGAGATGTAGCCACATCGGCTGCACACGCCTGACACCAGGGAGAGAGAGAGAGAGAGAACAACAGATCGGTCAGACAGTTCTCACAATCCTCTCTGCCACTGTTAGAAACCTGACATGACCCTACATGACATAGCTTGACACCACATTGGTGGCTTCACAACTTGTGAGGCAAAGCAGCTCCAACTGCCTTCATACATAATGTCACGAATGACAAATGACGAGGCGAAGAATAACTGAAGAAACTACACGTATAATGAGGCGAACTTGTGCCCAAAACAAAATAGAAGTAAGTTAGCGTCGCAGGCGTCGATGTTGGCAAAACAGCAGGATCGAGCACTGGAGCGAGACTGACTCCGCTCGCCATGCGGAGTCTCTTGTACCCTTGTGAGACAAGAATGCTCTCGAGCTTACGACAACGCCAAGTTGAAAAAAATAAATAAAAGAACATTCTGCTCCCTGGAATGAAGCCCATGTCCTGCACGCGACAGCCAAGAGCGGTAACCATTCAGCCACGTACGCGCTCGCTCAGCGACGCACATGGCAATATATGGCATCATACACATGCTACATGAACTAGCACTGTTCGGATACAAGACACTTGCAGTTACTTTTAGATACACAGCTCACAGAGTAACTCATTTAAATCTCTAAAAGACATCCAGTGAATGACAAAGCATAAGAATGTCTGTTTTCAAAGATGTGATTTGTACATGAACCCATTTCAGATGAGACCATCTTCTCTGTTTGATCATTTACAAGGCTTATTTTGAAGATTACAGTGACTATTGTCGAAGACAGGTTAAGAGTTCAGGGAAAGCTCCTTTCATCTCGTTCCACTTTAGCAAAGAGAACGCTTGAGAGGGGGTGACCCCCTCTCCAGTATTCGCTCCGCTAAAGTGAAAAGAGGTGAAAGGAGCTTTCCCTGAACTCTTAACCTGTCACTGTCTGCACGGAAAGTTGGTGTGCAGGCCATGTTCAAAAAAAGTATGAATTATAGCGAAGAAAATGCATTATACAGTGAAGCTTCTCCCACTTAGATACAGATGGTGTATGCTTGAACTATTTAAGTCAGAGAGAGGTCCAAGTTTCAGAGGTGCTTATTGTGGAATATGTGGTTTGTGATATCTCTGATCCTGTCCTACTGCAGGCGGTGTGTGCTTAATGCTATGCGGAGAGCAAGTCGTCTGTTTTTTGCACAGGAGTGGCAGTGACGTCAGAATGATGTAGAGCTCTGATTGGCATTGATTGAAAGGATAGGGGGTAGACCTCAATGCTAGATGCATTGAAGTATACCCCCTATTTTTTCACTCAGCCAATAAGAGCTCCGCATTCTGACATCATCACAACCCCTGCGCAAGAAGCAGACAAACCTGCGCTCCACAGAGTTATGATTCTGCATTCACAAATAAATTCTGAGAAATGCGAGAGACTCTCAAGTAAATATTCACACAATTCTGATTTAGCTTGAAAGTTGATATTTTCACAATCCTGGTTCTGGAAAATAAAGTTTTATTTCTCTCTCCTAAAAATGGTCAGTAAAATTTTCGATATCATCCTGTTATCACAGATTTTCCTAATGTACAATGTGATAACAAATTAGGCTTGTCTTAGGAAGTCCACAATCCTGTACCTTGAGAAGCTGGAAATCTTATGACTTACTGTGACTGGTGTTACAACACATATTAAGAAGCTGTAATGGACCTTTTCCGAGAAGCGTTCTGCACACGCGCGAGTGCCCGATGCCAAGCGGCGGAAGTCGGAACGAAAAATCGAGGAAATTCAGGAAGAGGCTGTATATCAGCGAGTAGAACACGTAACTGCAGCATATATATAATTATTTTACACAAAAAAAGAACGTCGACGGAAAGGAAAACACAACGTTTGGGTGGACGCCACGGATGCCTCTCTTTAAAGTCGCATTGGGAAGGCGCCGCTGCTCAGAGAGCAAGGAAACTGGTAGCATAGCTCCCATTATCAATTGGTAGCGCAGGTAGGTCACTTCCTCGATTTTTAGTCCGTGAAGCCACTGCCTGGTGCCGTCGGTATGTGGAAAAGGTCCATTGAAAAGTAATGCCTATCTGGAATTTGAGACTCTGGCTTCCATATATATTGTCACGAATGACAAGTGAAGAAACTATGTCAAAACTGATGAAATTAAAGATTTAATGTGGTGACTTTGTGCCAAAACAAAAGGTACAATAACGGGCTTTGTGGGCGTCGAGGTTGGTGTAGCAGCAAGATTCAGCGCAGGTGAAAAGCCGACTTGGTGCTGCATGCTACGGCTGTTTCTGCAGTCTGTTCCTGAAGGCTCTTTCCCAGAAGATACCATAACCAATGAGAATGCGCTGGAACTTTCCAGCAAGGCAACGAAAGGTAAAATGCAAAATGCAACATGAGATTTGAACCGGGTTCATCTGCGTGGGAGCTGTGTGCACTGCCCGCTCGGACATGCACGTGGCAATATTGCATTTACTCGAGTAATCAAAGCATTATTGTGGGAACCGTGCGTTTTCCCATCTTCCTATCTAGGCCTAGTACATGCAGGCCATCGGGACTACCATAGCGACGGCTTCCTGGATACGAAGGAAGGACGCATTCTTCGAAGAGGGCGGAATCTCCCTCACCCTCTAGGGTGCATGTACCACAGGCACCTTGGGAATGATAGTGGATGCGACCCATATCCGGGTGAACCTACATCTGGCAGCCCCCATTTCCCACAGGTTATATAAGCCGGCCCCCAAAACTCCAAACGGGGGAGGGGGATGAGGGGGGGAGACTTGCTGAAGGAGGCTCTGGCCATCAAAGCCTCTATTTTTTTTTTTTTTTAGGGGCGAAGCTTTTTAGGGTGTAGCCTTGTCCGTCCGGCTTCCATGCTCAGATCGATCTTGCTGGTGCCCATGAAGTCACGTGCTCGTGTAGAAAAAAAAAATGATGAAAAAAAAAATTGTTTGTGCAGTCGACAGGATTTGAACCTGTGCGGGGAGACCCCAATGGATTTCTAGTCCATTGCCTTAAAGGGTAACTGCAAAGAAAAAAAAGCTGTTTTTTAAACAGCCTAATTGGGACAAGCATGTCAAAAAACAATTTTTCCGTGAGAAAAAAAAATTTTTACAGCAATATTTATTGCGTGAAACTGATTTTAGTTTGCGGCTATTTCGCCCGTTTTAAATCGCGCGCCACGAAGTTGGAATTCTGTGACGTTGCATCCCAATCGGCTGCTATACTTCTCATTTGCTAAGAGTTTGATTGACAGCTTAGATCTTGGTTATTAAACCTTTGTTATAAGTTGCAATTTCCTTTTGAGCGGCATATTTTTACGTTTAAAGAATAACCGATGTGATGAGAGTTATTATTCTTTACAAAAGGTTTACAAGACGGGCACTTCCGTTTGGATTTATACCATAACAAACAAAAGCTTCGCCATTCTTTCATGGCCGCTGAAGTCTCTGCTTCCGCCTGTCTCGCCTACCTCGACTAATCGTTTCGCCAAAGTGATCAGTGTTTCGTGCTAACCCAGGTGCTTGAGTGAGACTTCTTGAAGTGAAGTAGTGTGTGTTTAGCAGCTGTCGCAGGTGTTAGTGATAGGAAGCGACGCGGGGTTTTGGCTTTCATAGCGCGGTTCTTTCGTTTTCCTCTTTGCTTGCTTAGCGTGCTTTTTTTTGTGTGTGTTTTGCTTGTTTGCGCGTGCAAATGTTGACTTTTCAGAGATGTCAGATGCGTGATCCCAACAGTGAGCCTTCCAGCAGCCATGTCGCCCGAAAGGAATGCTAATTGGCTGGAGGCAATCGGGCGCTCGCGTAGCGACAAACGTGACCAGTTACGTTCTCGTCATATCGCTCCGGAGGCCATCGAGATTCGCACCAGGTGCACCTAACGTCCACAACTAGACACACAAAATAAAAAAAGCACCACGTTCACTATGTAAAAAGTGGTCTCAGTTCATGCATCTGTAGACAGGTATGAAATCTTGCCCAAATTTATTCACACCGTACGACGAGCGCAACAAGTCGCTGTGCAAATGCAGTCCAACAACACGAAGCATAAAAACGGCAGATTTAGGACAACAATTCGGAGTCCATTGTTCAATTAAAACGACGTAATTTATTTGAAAACGCTCGCAGCTTTTTATTCACGCTATGCGTCCTGGACAAGAATGACGAGTGCTCCACCTGTAATGGAGAGGTCCCGGGTTCGATACCCGGACCAGGCGGATTTTTTCGGTTGCGCACCGGTCACCTAGCTGTGTTTGGAGATTTCTGTTTGTCCTTTGTCCCTCTTGCTCCCTTTCTCCAGGGATTATTTTCGTCAAACAGAACGAGATTGCCGAAACCAATGCAGCGCTGTCGTGAACCTTGGCTTGTGTTGCGCACTCGTGGATTCTGTGACTCCCTTCGCTTTCAAAACACGCACGACGATTACGAATGATACTTTCCGTCTTCCAGGAACATCATAGGGGCACTTCTCCGGTCATGTCTTCGCTACATGTGCTCGCAAACCGCGTCAAACCAAAACAATACCGCGGCCTGGCATAGTTGCCAGATCTTACCGGAAGTCGAGACGCTGCGTCGTTCAACTCCGCAACGTAAGGAGAGTGGAGGGCGGGGCGTACTTCTCCTCCGCAGGAGTCGAAAAAGCGAAAGTTCCAAACGTGGAGAGGTTCTGATTCGACAAAATTACGTCCTGTGGCATAAATATTGATAAAAAAAATTATTTTTTTCGCCGAACATTTGTTTTGTGACATGCTTGTCCCAATTAGGCTGTTTAAAAAACTTTTTTTCTTTGCAGTTACCCTTTAACAAGAATGAGACCCTGCCAACTGCAAGCCATGACCGATGATTGTTTTGCGATCCGAAGACTGTTGCATACCCCGAGCTTGAAAAAGTGATTGCAGAGTTCATTGAGGAGAAAAAAGAATGATGTAGTGCTATGCAATTTCAACAGGCATTTGCACCCTCCTAATAATTAGTTTCCCAAACAAAAGGCTCAGGGTACATTTAAGCCCTGCTTATGAGTTGTGAATGCAAAAGCATGCGTGCCGTTTTTCCGCTCCCGTGTTTCGTAAGCGGAGCATTTGCGTCGGCCGTGCGAGCGCTCTTCCAGCTCTCCTCGCAGCTCTGACCTTGGATGCTTTGTGTTACAGGCACACTCGCGGCACGGACACGCAGCACCATGAGGCGGTTGTCGTTGAAACTGACGCGTGCAGCAGCCAATGGGAGCCTCGTCGACGCGCCAGCCAATGGGACTGAAGGCGAAATCTATCAGCTTTACTTCGCTCCATGGGACAGTTAATGCTTTCGCATTAAGAATGACTTGGATGAAAAGTGGCAGGTGGTGCTGCCATTGGATCCTCCACTTGCCTGTCTGTGCTCTATTCATGTGTCGAAATAGGACTTACTTTTCTCGTCATTCATATTTCTGGCAAGAAGGAGCAGCATTTGCATGATCGTAACCAGGGATGGGCAAAATACATGCAAATATATATTGAAATACAAATACAAAATCCTTCGTCAAAAATGTATTTAATTACAAATCTAATTACATTTCCAAAAAAAAGCATTTAAGTACAAGATACAAATACAACCAAATGTATTTGGTCTCCTCCGAATACTTTTCCAAATACATTCCTCAAAATTTGCGTCAGCGACTTCAGGGCACCTCCAACGGGTTTCTTGGTATCTCATGTTAATTTTGCATTGCACGCTCCGGAGTTAGTGTGCGAGGCTCTAGTAACGTAATAGAAATATAATCACAAAAAAATGTAATCAGCTTGGACGTAATAGGTGAAAAAAGTACGGAGCTTCAAGCAGCTTTTTTGTCGATTACATTTTGGTATAGACCAACAAAGAACCGAGACGACCAAGACGCGCAGCACTAGCTAGAGAATGTTTTATTGTCGCAACTGGCACCAGTTACGAGAATCTGGACGACCCGCGCATTTAGAATGTTCCAGGCAAAAATATGAATGGAAATCAGGCTGGAAAGCATCACAAGTTGTCACAGGCACTTATTTAGCCAGTCTGCCTGTGAACGTTGATTTCGTCACTATTCTTGCCCTGGACTAGCACCGTAATCACAAAGTCACTAAACGCTTGTGCTTGATCGAGAGACACTGCATTCGGTGCAGAACATAAGTTTCTTCCTGCTCTGGACAGTGCATTTAATGTATTTTCGCCCACAAAATTGTATTTAATTACAATTTTATTTGAAATACCCACGTTTTAGTATCTAAATACACACGTCAAATACATTACCTAATCTGTAATTAAATACAATTTCAAAATACACAAAGTATTTGAAATACGTATTTCAAATACTTGTATTTGAAATACTGCTATCCCTGATTGTAACAAAGCTGACATGAAGTTATCTGAACAAAATTTGCGAAGATAGGCAATGACTCATACAGATGCACATGCTATGCCAGATAGTTCAGTGAATGTTTCCTTTGTCCTTTTCCCTTGCAGGTTGATACAAATCAAAAACCACAGTGGAAAGGTTACCCACCTTGTTGTGGAAGCTTGATGCCCTCCTTGACAGCCATGCACTCTCCAGAATGGATGATGTCTGTACACAAGTATATGTATGAGCTGTTAGTTCAGGCTCCTAACAGCTCTTTTAGCTACATATTGTAGGGATTTCTACTGGGCAGCATTTCTGAAGACTACATTATTCTGTCACTAATCTTGCTCTGCCTGAAATGAAAACCACAAATACTTTTTCGTGACTTCATTCTTTTTTCATGTTGGTCCTGCAGAACCATCAGGCATTATCGCAGGGGGTGAATAAACATGAGAAAAACAGCTCAGCATTTGCGGCCCAAACAATTTCGCAAGACAAGGCATTCCAGTCCTTAATGGATTTTACAAGAATATTTTCACCAACTTCCGTCCTGGTGCGAAGTTCCTGTATTTTATGTATACGTATGTGATCATTTATTTTGGATAGATAATTTGGAAGTAAATAGATAAGATGAACTCTTAATGCCTGTTGTATTATTATTAGTGATGGACCAAATCTGCCGAACTTCAGATTTGGCAAAGTTCGGCAAAGATTCGGCAAATGTCTGCGCACGTGTGAGAACGCGACGGGTCCATGGATTGCAAATGGACGCCGTGCGGTCGTGCGATTACCATCGGACAGTGTAGTACCTCCAGTGGTTACAATGAGGTGTGGAGTAGGCAATATGGTAACTGCGCGTTTGTTAGCCTTTGCTAGTGTGGTTCTCTTCAATATTGAGTGCCTCAAGAACAGAAGATCAACCAATAATTTACGCAGTCCACTGCGCAAGTGACAAATGATTCGGTACATTCTCGATAACGCGACATTTCATTTTACCTCTCCAATGATGCAACGAGGTAGTTGAAACATTGACTGACAATTACTTTAAAGCACTCCTCGCAATTGAAACCATCCTGTTTTCGGCTCACGAAGTAGTTTGTGCCAAAACAAAATAATATTGCTTTTTAATTAGTGTTATTTGGTGGATTTCATGTATCCGCATAAAATTAAACAGAACTATCATGCTCGATGTTGCACATCCGACATTAGTAACTCTTCCCACCTTCGTAAATGTCTGTATGTGTCCTAATATTGAAAACTGGCATTTTAAAGGTTAAAAACGAGACGTTGCGGATATGGGACGCACACTTTCGTGCAAACCCGACGTCAAGTGACCCAGATCGAAAAACATGCATACAGTCGAACCTCGATGTAACGAAGTTCAATGTAACGAAATCCTCGATTTAACGAAGTATTTTATTTTTCATAATTTCTTGCCCATAGACCCCATGTATTTTTAGTCTCTATATAACGAAGTCTATTTTGCTGCTATTTCAATATAACGAAGCGCCATTGCCATAGAAGGCAATAAATAAATAAACTCTAAAAAACAACTTCGCAAAAAAATTGTGGTTAAAAAAAACATTATGCGCAAACGCGAGCGCTTGATAGGTTACTTCACGGGGACAGGCCTTCCAACGTTCCTAGGCTGCCCGAGGATGCGGCGCCGGTAGCGCCGGCGAGGCATCCTCGGGCAGCCTAGGAACGTTGGAGATTGGTGGCTAGAAGGAATGCAGACAAAGACGGCTCTGGAAAGCTATAGATTAAACAAAAGAGTTATTGCCAAAGAAAGCATTTATGACAATTCTAGGGGAAGCTCATTGCTGTTTGAGGCAAGAACGGGTGTTCTGCGAACCAGAACATACAGAGTGAAGTACCAGGAAATTGATACAGTGTGCACTGCTTGTGGAGAGGAGGACGAGACGGCTGAGCACTTGATACTCTACTGTAAAGGGCTTCACCCTATGCCTACCGAAGACAACATAGATTTAATAAAGTCATTGGGTTTTAGAGACAGCGAAGGGAGAGTGGATTTCAAGACTGTAGAGATTACCAAGCAAAGATTAAGTGAATGGTGGCAGAAATCGAGAGAAAACTAGGTATTTTCTTATCCACTGATGGCAAGGGGGTTTCATAGCCTCACTTTCTTTGCACTGCGGAGTGAATATAGATTTCACATTTAAATATTCTAAGCTTAAATGGTAAAACAAAATGGCTAGGTGGCGTAAGCTACCGCCCGATCCAAAGGGCTCAGCCGTATTCATCCATCCATCCATCCATCCATCCAGGCATGCGGCAAAGCGGATTCCGTGGGGCTAGCCAGAAAATGCCGAGCAAAAAGTTAACACGGGCATCACCACTGACAACCACAGATCATCACATCATAGTCCACTGTATCGCGGGTAGCGCGGGAGCCAACTTCAGCGGGGAGCGACGTGATGGCGCAACCGCGCGACCGCACGGGCAGTGCTATCTAGGAGAAGACCTAGAAGACCGATTATCGTCTTGCGAGCGTGATGTAAAGCTAAGGCGCAAGCACACTGTGGGCGCAAGGGGGCAAGTAAACTGTGCGGTCAAGAGTGCTGTGTATATTGGAAACATTGGCACCGCCTAAACTAAACAGCTTTATTTTTTAACCGGGCAATTCACTCACGTGCTTGCTGCCATAAGGAAACGTAAAGTTCTTTCTTTGGATGAGAAAGCAAACGTTTTGGACGCCATCCTGAAGAAACTGCCGAGATCCCGAGGAAGTGCTCGACGCAATGGACGTACTGAGGAGGTACACGGCGTCGCATGGGCAGCAAGATGCCGTGCAAGCGCTCTGGGCGCTCGAACGCCGTATGACGCCGCTGCTACTGTCCAACAAGGCGGCAAGCAAAACTCGCGGACTACTTTGCCCCTAAATAAATGCCATTTTCGGTGAGTTTTCATACCCGTAAAATGTGTCGGAATTTTTTTTTTTTTGCATGCTAAAGCCAAATTTTGATTTAGCGAAATTTCAATGTAACGAAGTAAATTGCGAATTTTACCGACTTCGTTACATCGAGGTTTAACTGTATTTACAGTCATATTGTTATCTCTTCTGGTGAAGGCTCAGCAACCTTCGCATTCGTTTTCACACACGAAACGACGACTCCCAGAGAAAGTAAGAACGCAGTGTTATTGTGTGTATTTTCAAAATGCACACACGCTTGAAGGCTTGTGCTGATGAGGCCTCAAGATCGAAACTCTCATATCGCGATTCGTGGCTGTGCCTGCTACTATGCTACCTCGTTGTCATGCTTGATTAAAAGAGCACGAAAAGATGAAAGACTGGATGAAGGAAGACATAGACAGTGCTCTGCCTGTGTCTTCCTTCATCCAGTCCATCATGTTTTTGCGCTGTTTTAATCTTTTAAGCATGTCATACCAACCCGCCCAAGCTTCAACTTAAGCTACATTTATTTCATTGTCACCCCACTTCTGCAAGAAGTCACTGTAAAATGGCAAGTAAACATACAAAAACGACACGGATACAATTATCTTGTAGAATATCAACTTATTTAGTAATAATTGCGTCAATATGCATTATATGTTGCATTATATGTTGCATTTCAATTAAGGAAAAAACAGCATCAATCTTCTTTCACCAGGAAAAACTAAATAGCAACAGTAAGTCTGGTAACAATGTATTTTTGCCGAATCTTAAAAAAAGTTTGGCAATCGGCGCTGAATTTTGGACTCGGCAAAAGTTCGGCCCATCACTAATTATTATTATAGGTACTGTATGAAGACTTCAGGCGCAAATTTTTTTTGTTGTTACGCCAATGGATACCATCTATTGGCACAACGGTACGTGGGGATACATGAACCGGTGCCGACACTTTGCCCTACCCAAGTTGAATGGTGAGGTAAACATGCTATTTTAGGTAGTACTGTTGAAGAAAAAGAGCTTACCCAAGATGGCAGTGGGGCGAATGGCCTCAAGGTCCTTCAAGTATGCCCTTGCATGACCTCTGAAAGTGTAAATAATGTACCACTCAATAGAGGTAAAAAAAATTTAGCCTCAATTTGCAATCTACCAAGTTTTGAACAATGAATAGCCTGAAAATCGCAGTCAGATATCAGAATCATGTAAGTATTTCCAGTACTCTTTGGACATAGTTTACTAGAATTTAATAACTAATAAACTATGAATGCCTCCTCATAATAGCTTTTAATCATGAAATGTTTGTGTGCACAAACATGACAGTCTATGTTTCCTTGAAGAAATATGTTCTGCATTTCAGCATTTTTGCTAGTGCAAAGCCTACATGTATATTATACATGTAGGCTTCACACAAGTACAAGTATATAAAAAACATACAAGTATATAAAAAACAACAACAATAAAGACAAGCCACTTTCTACTTGATATAAATGGCAAACCACCTGTTATTTCAAGATGTAAGCTTAATTCCAGCAATGACTGGAAATACCGTATTTTCTCGCGTATTACCCGCATCAAAACTTTAAAGAAATCCAAGGCATAGTAGGGGTGCAGGCAATACGTGAATTTGGACGCGAGTGTGGCTTCACGGCAGCATGCGCCGAGCCGCACGGTCGGTAGGGACGTAAATTTCTCAGAATCCCTCTTAGCCGTTGCTTCCTAGGTACTTTCTCCCGTCTCTCCTTGTTTATCTTCTTTTTTGGAGTTGCCATCTTTGCATTGTCTGCGCGCCAAAACGCTGGACTGGCCGCGTACCCACGACGGGAGAACGAAGCGAGAAACGTCAATCTTGCAGTCTTGGTTGTCCCGTTCTGTTCGACATGAGCTGTGCTCGGCGGCAGTCCTTTACGGCGGAGCAGAAACTGAAAATAATCAGCGTTGCCGAAGAGATCGGGAACCGTGAGGCAGGCCGAAAGTATGATGTCAACGAATCCTGTGTACGCGAGTGGAGGGCAAAGAAGCAGGACCTTCAAAGTGCAAGCCGTGACCACAGGTCCTTCCGCGGTCCCAAGACCGGAGCCTAACCCCAGATCAAAGCCAAGCTGGTGGAGTTCACTGAGGAGAAGAGAGGCCGTGGCCACGCCATATCAACAGAGACGGCTCAGATCGAAGCTCTGAGGCTGGCAAGAGAAGACGGCATACTGCGCGACCAGTTTCGTGCCAGCTGCGGGTGGTTTCACCCATTCATGAAACGTCAAGGATTTTCCATCCGGAGGCGGACGACCTTATGCCAACAACTTCCTGACACCTACGAGGACACCGGGAAGTGCAAGACTATTCCCACTGATTTGCCCTTCGGGATAATAATGCGTGCGGAGGACAACTCCTGGATGAACAGTCACCTTGTCGTCGACCCGTTGAAAACTGTGTGGGAGAACAGGCCGGGCGGGATGTTAGTGCGGAGGTCCATGCTAGTGCTGGACGTGTTCCGGGGCCACAACACCAAGGAAGTGAAGACCCGTCTCGCGGATGACAAGATGGACCTCGTCATGATCCCAGGCGGGATGACGTCCGTGCTTCAGCCGATAGATGTTTGCTTACACAAGCTGTTTAAGGCGCACATAAGCGCATGTACACGGAGTGGATTGCCGAGGAGCAGTACGACTTCACGCCGACGGGCCGTGTCCGCAAACCTGACATAGCAGTACTTTGCAAGTGGATTATCAACGCGTGGAAGGCGATTCCTGCAGAGATGATTTGCAAGAGTTTTAGAATGTGCTGTATCAGCAATTGCCTGGACGGCATGGATGACGACACTCTCTGGGACAATGAAGATTCTTCAACTGATAGCTGCAGCGACTGCAGCGATGAGTAATGTTCCAATAAAGGTACTGTTTTTGGTGACTTTGACATTGCTTTCCGTTTCTATTTTCTAACAGTCGTAGGTTGGGGGTGCAGGTTATATGCAGGGGCGGGCAATACGCGCGAAAATACGGTAGTCATAACGCAATATGAAAGTGTCTTGTCCAAGATTTTTACTTGCATATGTATATAATCAAGCCCAAACAGTATTACCGAGAGCTCTGCAAACATACCTGTAAGCATTAGGAGAGTAAATGCATTCTGTCGAAAAATAGTCCAACTTCTTGAAGTGGGCATACCTGAAAAAATATTTAATATCTTTGTATTCTTGAAAAGATGATAAAAAAACAATTTATCTAAAATATTTTCAGAATGAGTAAGGTCAAACATAGGGCCTAAAAGCAACTGCTCCCTGCTGTCCTCTTCCCTGCCTGACATCGAAGAGAGCACTACTTCGAGTGCATGTGAAAGCCTTTAGAATACTATGTGCCAAGCTGAAAAAGGCTGACTGGGAACTGGCTGAAACCTGTGGACTTTCCAGATTGTGCACTGAAATTCAGTGCATACAGGACTTTTGATATGATGTCATGCTGGAGTGCAATTTATAGGGCTTCAACACCCCATACGTCTGAATCGGGAGAGCCGGCCACTACTGCCAAAACAAAACCGACCGTCGCATGCACAGAGCATCTCATTTCGCAATTATCAATAGCCCCAAAAACAAAATATACAGCAGAACCTCCCGGGGGGCACACGGTCTTGCGTTTAGGTGGAAACTTTCATATATGTAACCAATGTTGTACATGTATGGCAGAGACCCTCAAAGGGTGACAGGATTCAATGTGCAAGCAAGCCGGCAGTAGTCAAGCATATTATAATTTCAAAGGATAGCTTGGGTTGCATCTGAACCACGTAAGAATGCTGACAGTCCCTCTAAGTTTTGCGCAGTTCTTCCCTTGTTTAATATTGCCCTTGCGATCTAAAACATGAATGTAAAAAGATAAAAAGTAGCCGGTGTCCACGAGGCACAACAACAAATAAACATCCCACTCACATTACAATCTCCTTCTCGTAGGTGTACTTGAATGGTTTGGAACGAGGGATGGCTCCTTCAGATCCCTGTGAGACCAAAGCAACCGAGAAAAGTGAAATGAGAAAGCAAACAATGACTGCCAGAAGTACTATTCTTTCGTGAACGCCTCAAGGTCACATTTCCCAGCAGACACATTGATGTAAGTAGAGCCTGCTATATATGTGGATTGGCACCCCCTCGAGTTTCACCAGGAGTCAACGAGCAGATCTAGTATCTAACACCCCAGTGTACGGCATACAGTAATCCCTCGTGATAACGAAGTCAACAGGATGGCAGAAAAATTCGGTATAAGTGGTAATTCAATAAAACCAACAGAGTCAAACAGCGCCAGCAGCCTTGAAGGTGGATGGGAACACTGTGGAACACTCTGACCGTATATAATATCAAACAAACTTTGGGTATGAACCACAAACGACAGCTTTACTGAGTAAAAAAATATTCAAGTGGAGTTTGCTGATAATTTTATCCGGGTACCAGTTCTCAAACTGCTCCAGGCATTGCATAAGAGGTGGACCAGTGGTTAAAAAAAGCCGCGTTAAATCCGGTCCCGCACTTTAAGCGGTTACGTTATAAGTGTGTGCTTCATTATTTTCTGGCCTCTCCAATATAACGATGATTGACTATACACATGCTGTATGTGAAAGTAGGCACTTGCATTGTGTTCCACTAACCATGTGAGGCAAACGACTACTCACCGTAGTGATAGCCGTGCACCTCTGCAGCCGTGCAATGTCTCCCCTTAGAACTGCAAAAGACGAAAAAGAGCTACACTACAAGTATGCCAAAGCTTCTCAAACCAAGCATTATGCAGGGACCTGCCTATCATTTACTAAAGTATGCCTCTGTGCAGGTTGTCAATGACCAAGAAGAAACCAGAGTGTCAACTTAGTTTTGTTACTACCCAGTAAAGATACAAAATGGCCCAATATACAATAGACTTAGAGGGCAACTCTGCTTCATTTTTGTTTTTGAAAAAACAACAACAATGCAGTCCACTTCAGTATCTCCTAGGAAGACCACACATGAAATATTACTACCTAGTTTTGTCTAAATAATTTTTAAACGGTTCGGCAAACTTTGGAACGCTCCAAGTTGCCGAAATCAGCCGACTCTAACGGGTGAACTGAGGCACAATCAACGGCGCAGTCAAGGCTACTGTGTTGGCATAGCCAACATTGAGTTAAACGTCATCACCATTGCTACTTTTTGTTTGCTTTTACTTCTCCGGGCAAGCGTAACAGGTGACGTCAGCAGCATCTCCTTTCGGCGCTCAGCGGTGTACGTGATTGGCGTAACGTGCCTGTGCAGCGCGCTTCTCAGCCTTGGGAGCTGTCCGGCCGTCCTGTTGTCACTGCCGTCCCCCGTGTCACGGCCGCCGTCATCGTCTCGCCGTTTGTGATTATTGTCTCGTAGAGTTTCGTTCACATTACGTGAACTGGGTGACGCCGCAGTTCTGCAGACGTCATCGGATATCGTAGACACCAAAACATAGAGAAGACTGCAGTCCAAATGACACCTCTGCCTTGCACACGCCTGCCCCAACGGTAACCCACCCAGATCCTGCCTGTCGTTGTGTAGACGATCACGTGACTGCTCGTCGTACCACATGTTATTCATGTTTTTGACGGCCTGAGGCCAATGTTGCCTGACAGAGCCGAAGTTTCAATTTCTGCTCATGTTTAAAGTAAGATTTTACAAAATATATCCCATTTTTCACGAAGCAATCGACGTAGTGCCTTTGATTAGTGATTTTTAATGTGAAACCACTCATAATCTTGAAACTTGGCAGAGTTGCCCTTTAAGGGATTAAGCTTGAAGACCTGTTGAAAGGTTTAGGAACTTTTCAACAGGTCTTAATTGCCAAGAAAGGTTCATAAACACATGAACAAAGTCAGAGAATGCAAAGAAGGCAAACAGCTAAACATCATGATCGACGGACAGTTCAGAGACTTACGAGACAGAGATAAATAAGGTCCTCAAGCAAAACTTCTATCTGCTGAGATAGCATTTTTGAAGAGAATAATTTTTTCAACCTTGTTATTTACAACGTTTCTTCAATAAAACATAATGATTAGATATGTGTGTATGCTGCTGGAAAGTAGATTGCTGGACCACGCTCATAAACGGTGCATCTATTACTCAAGGAAATACGGCAGTATAAACTGGCAATTTGGACTCTCCAAGAGAGCTCGACCATGCTACATAAATAATCTTGCATAAAGGGAATATTCCAATAACTGCAATCATATGGCACTATGTTGGAAAATGCAGAGTTTTTCCAGTTAAGCATGATGGATGGATGAAAACCTAAAGCAGAATGGGTGCAGCAGCAAACATTATTGAGGCATTGCATACTGTCTCAGACTTACCGTAAAATACCGAGGGAGCGCCCAACCCATTTTCACTGAAAACTAAGTTAATCTAGACATGGGCGCTTGTCCAGTCAAATCGGCAGTTAAAGTATAATTCGCAGAATTCCCAAGTTTGGGAAATGTTAATAGTGGGCGCTTGAACGAAGTGAGCACTTCTGCGGTATTTTACGGTAATCTGCCTAAAGCAGCAAAGTCCTCACTCATCTGTTTTCACCTGTAACTTGAAGTGGAACACAATATCAGTTGTCACAATACATGTTATGGAACCAACCGGTGCTGCTCCAAAACACACATTTAAATTTTGATGTCAAATACAACGAAGGGAATAGACTATGACCATGAGATAAGATCAGTGAAAACTGCCAACTGCAATCCTTACTCATTAACTTGTGCCAGTAATTTCTTCCTTTTTTTTTTGTGTGTGTGTACAAGTTGAATTTATTTAACTTCCTTCAAGACTGGCAAAACATAATATGAATCCACATAGACTCTGAGCGTTACAAACTAGCTGTGTCGGTAAGCATGCCAAGGTTTACATACCATTCATCACCACAGTCTCTGCGATGTCGTCTGCATTATGCCCTAAGATAAGAGAACAGCAAGAGATAGTTTCATAACCCAAGGTATATGTATACATCAGAAGCTTTATCTCATCAGAGAATTATTTCACACTCCTCGTAACACCAGTGATGCCATTAACACTAAATGTTAATAAAGTCGATATAGCTCCAAATATAATCCTCTTGTAGCTAAATTGACTAAAACTAGCATAGGAAGAAGCTACTAAAAGTAAATTATTATGCATAAAAATATGAAAAACTACATTGTAAAGTACCATTCTAGCCAAGCTACTAGTAATGTCGAAAGTGCTTATTTTTAAAGCAAAACACAATTTGTTATGCCAGTTCAATGGCAATCCTGACATTAGGTGTAACCAGTGCATAAGTACAGGGTGTCACAAAAGAAATTTACGCAGTCTTTTTAACCGCAAAAATAAACTAAGCATCGCCGAACGCTCATTCTCCGCCCAAAGGTAGAGCTAGAGGTCACAACCAGATGCCAAAGTTTCAGCCCGATCCGATAACTTAATCAAAAGTTATAAGTGATTTTCTGAAAATTTCAATGGGAAAATGGCGGCCGAAGGAGTTTTCAAACACATGGTGCTCTATGGCACCAGAAACCGAAAACGGGCAAAATTGGGCTCCATTTTCCCATTGAAATTTTAAGAAAATCACTTATAACTTTTGATTAAGTTATCGGATCGGGCTGAAACTTTGGCATCTGGTTGTGACCTCTAGCTCTACCTTTGCGCGGAGAATGAGCGTTTGGCAATGCCTAGTTTATTTTTGCAGTTAAAAAGACCGTGTAAATTTTCATTTGTGACACCCTGTACATATGTTGCTTTTTAAGCAAAGGTTTAGAATAAAGATAGACTGTGCTGCTCTAAACACTTCCCCGACTTTAAGCGAGTCTCTATAAAAGATAATTACTCATAATGCAAGAATAGAACGATTGCTCATAATTCTCACTCTGAAGTGCCCCAACAGAGGCATTCAGATATTCGCAGTAGATGACACACTAGAAATAGCATCACCCCAACACCTTGACGAGCGTGTCCACCACGTGATGACATCTTCCTGTCCCAAGCGCACCAACCCCCATGGCGCACTATAAGTTAGTAAAATTACTAGTTCAACTCAGTTGACAAACTTCGAGGGAGGGATGTCTCCTATCTCCCAGTATTCATAGCCATGAGTGCATAATTAGAGAGCATCTCGCGCATGCCAAAATCGGGGCCCTTCAATTGAACTCCAGCAAACAAAAGAAGGGGGGGTTCAGTTCCTACAATCAAATGTCCATAGGATCAACTGACAGTACACCAGAACCGCTCCATAGTTAAATCAGTTTTTTCTGGAAAAATATTCACTAAAGAAATGTCACCACCCAACAAGTACATCAAACACATGCACCCTTGCTTTGCTATATCAATGTCTTTGAAATATCAGTATGTTTAATGAAGACATTTTATCTAAGTAGCATTGCTAGCAAATGAAGGACTTGAGTAGGGTTCACCCACCTGTGACCATCTTGTTGACACCCAATTTTGAGGCCCCCCTGTCCAAGGCCTGTCGCCTAAACACCCCACAGAAGGTGCCTGTGTAAGGGAAAGATTGACTCCACTGATACACAAAACATCCGGGCTGCTCAATCCTGAAAAAGCCTGTGTTATGCTCATAAGAATGTGTGGCCAATGGCCTACATTCACTCCCAATTCTTTTCCAAAAGCCACTACTGAAAATAGGTTCTAGAAACTAGAAAAGGGGTAAAGCTGAAATCTGGGAATACAAGTACTAGAGAGAGGTGCGAAAAATACTAGCCATCCACGTGGCCAACTCTTCTATCTCTCTTCTGCATATCCTCTACCACAGGAATTGTCAAGCTTTTCGACCTCAAGGAACTCCTATCTCCCTCCATGATTAGCCGAGGAACCCTTTCCGACCTTGGCATTGATGCAATAATGCAATGCAGAAGCCTATAAACCCTGTAATCAACAATGCCCATGCTAAGGTACATTTGGCCCATAGTTACCTATGAATCAATGGGTGGTTCAGATCTGCTAAAATACTAATTAAACTGAAAAAAATGAAAGCCGTTTACAATCCCCTGTAACGCTGAATTAGAGCGTAGCTCTTGAGGAGGGGCAGGGAAGGGTACTGAGGGGAGAAGGCGGAATGTCCCCCACTACTAACATGGGTGTAGATCGATGTGTGCTTAACACAAGTCGCAGAAAATGCACATCTTTGGTGACAGCATCGCATGTAAATTTGGCAGGAGTTTAGCGGGACAATTTTTTTGCCTAACTTTAGCGGGGAATTTTTTCCACTAGATTTAGCGGGGAAATTTTTTCCGCTAAATTCAGCGGGGAATTTTTTCTGCTAGATTTAGCAGGGAAATTTTTTCCGCTAGTGACATCACACGTGACGTCACTGATGACATCATCACTGACGATGCCAATGCCGTCACTGAGGACATCATCAGTGACGTCGCGTGTCCCCTAATGCACCGTGCAATTAAGCCGACGGCAAAGGCGACGGTGACGCCGCTCAAGCCGGAAACGGGCGCCTAAGGGCAGCGCTCTAAAACTCTTTATTCAGGAGAAGGGTAACCCAGGGAAGTTTTGAAGTTTGGGGAACCCATAAGAGTACTCTGAGAAACCTACCTGTTCCTAGAAACCCAGTTTGAGATTCCTTACTTTACCCCTCCAAAAAGAAGCCGCATCTCCACGTGATTGTCTCAGGTCATGACAATTTGGCGAAGAAAGTGAATGGAAAAATTCTGAAGAACTGATACTTTACAACTTTTTTTTCAAAATCATCACTAAATGACATGATTACAAAATGCCTCACCACCTCACTAGCACAAACTGTTTTCATGACAAATGCCAAAGATGCAGGCTTAAGAATCAAGGCAGCAGCAGGCTTCCATAAGGAGAGTATAGAAAAAATTTGTGCCACAACATAAAGAATGGCTTAACAGCAAAAAAAATTGCATAAAAGGGTAAATTAATAATGCAAAATCCCATAAAAATAACAGATTTCACCAACAATCTTGCATGTTCCTTATTTCCAGATGGAATCTACTCTCTAGATGTGTATAACTAGAGCCCTGCATATCTGCGGATATCTGCAGTAAATTGACGAATGCAGATAAAAATTAGACAAATTTTGGCGGATTGCGGATCGGATGTCAGGGGCTGTGGATGCGGATATCCACGGATTCGGATCTAAATTTTTGCCCGGTGGCATTCAGTTCATCGACTGACGTTTCACCTACAGATCGTTTTGTCGACATGCGACGTTTCATCGAAAGGCTTCTCGTGTTCGTCTCGACAAAAAGCCCGAGACATTTCGTCGCACACAACCCTGCTATTTTTGTAACAAACTTTTTGCGTCTCGCCTGGATTAAAGGGGGGAGGGGGGCATGGTTTGGTTAAGTTTGCCTTTGTGAATCGCGTGCTAGCTTTTAGCGGCTTAGTGAACAAATGCGTTGTCAACACAACGTTGCAGGGGCATGTGCCCACAAAACTAACAGCGTCGACGAACCGTGTGTGCATGAAATGTATGTCCATGAAAAGTTGTCTACGAAACATATTTACACCAAACAACTTTCAAAGAAACTATAGGGATCTTAAGAAAGATGCGATTCTCACTGAAAATCGCTTCAGTTAGTGCACTGCCTCTCGTCAAAAATCCTATCTATAGAAAAAGTAAAGATTGCAGGGCATCAATCGTCCTGAGAAAGCTAGTACATTGGCAGGAAAAGAGCAGAAACTTTCTCCGGGCAAAGAAAACCTCAAACGTACAAGTCACAAGGAAGTAGAAGAAACGTCCCCATCTCTGCAAAGAGTAGTGAGGTCACGACTCAAAAAAGAAGTGCCCCGACATCCTTTTTGGGCACTTCTTCTGGGCAAAGTGTCGCGGACTCCTAGGACGATCACATAACTGAGATAATTTTTTACTTCGATGTTCAGTGTCTCGGGAAGGCTCATCACTTTTAATATAAATATGATGAAACTGATAATGATAAAATGACATCCCCTTTGAATGGTGACCCGAAGATTTCTTGGAACAAAGATAAGCAAACAACTTAAAAAGTGTATGATATATAATGAATGCCTGTATTGTGAGTCGGGTCTGGTTCCACATTTTGCGGATGTGGTTCGGATACGGATACAAAGTATGCAGATGTGGATCGGATATGGATACAAAGTATGCAGATGCGGTTTGGATACAATAATGTAAAAAGTTTGCGGATGCGGTTCGGATACAAAGTCTGCGGATTCGGATCACATGCGGATAATCAAACTTATCCGCGCAGGGGTCTATGTATAATACAGTTGAACCTCTTTATAGTGAATCATCCAATATAGCGAATCATCCGATCTAGCAAACTAATCCCGAAGTTTGGTTGGTCACGCTTCATTTGAGTAATAAGTTCTAGTAATATAACGAAACCGAAACCGTGACATCTGACAAGCACCAGTTATAGCGAAGCAATTCCTGCCTTTTTTGCATCACAAATACTATGAAAGTTATTAAAAGGTATAAAAAACATAAGAAACATGAATTAAAAACAAAAACTTCAGAAAATTCAGATCACCTAATGTGAAAAAAAATGTGCGTTTCAGGAGGTAGCACCACCTATGAATTGAACAAATAACGGCGGAGGCGCTGCTGCTGGCCTCTATGTGTGGCATCAGGAGCCAGTGCAGACCAACCGCCAACCATGCCTCTCGTAGCGGAGCTGCAAATGGCGACGAAGCGGAAAGCCGTCTCTCTGGAGACAAAAGTGAAGGTTTTGAGGTCAGCGGACAACGGCTGGAAGAAAAACAGACATCGCTGTGGACTTTGAGCTTGCACCAGGCACAATATCTACCATCCTGAGTCATGCAATGATGTGAGACAGTCGACAATAAGCAACTGTTTTGTGAACGCAGGCTTCGTTCCACCCGCTGATGAGGTTCAGCCCGAAGACCTGAAGACGAGGCTACCTGGCATTGGTTGACGCTGGCGAATGTCTCATTTGAGGGTTTTGTTTGTGCCAATAACAACTTAGTTCTGGCGCCAAAGCTTAGTGATCAAGAAATTGTGGATTGTGTAGTGTTGCCCAAAGATGACAGCAGCAGCGACAGCAATGATGACGAGATTGAAGACGACACTGAAGAACCGCCGGCAACTAGCGCGGACGCCGCAGGCATGGTCCGGAAGCTGCACAATTATTTGGAGAGGCTCCCCACTGCCAAAAACTGTCAAGTGGAGAAGGCACTCTCGTGTATGGCCACTGTGGAGAACTTCATTCTTCAAAATGCTGTGCAAAGGTACCAGCCCAAAATCACATCTTTCTTCAAATAAATGAAATCATGGATTCAGCTAACGTTGTTTCTCGTGTTGCAAATTAATATTGTCATGTTCCGATCTATTTTTTTAATGCTGCTCAGTGACAGGTAAGGATCACAAGGTCTGCAATAGCACATTTGTATATCGTAGTGCTGTGCACGTTCTTGCACGGGCTCGATTGTGGGAACGTTCGCGTCAATTGAAAGGCACCTTGCAGGCACCTATGTTTATGCGTTCACAGTCCTGCACCATTGATTTATTGCTCCGCAATGTAGTCGTTAAGTACCAGTAGACTCACAGTTATTCTTGCGGCCGATTTGTGACACAATGGCATCCATTGTCCATCCATAGAGATCCTACGAAAAAGATGCAAACTGAATACTAAGCCGACAATTCAATCATGCGATTTTCATAAAACATTTGGTGAATTTTCTTTAACAAAACCAAACAACAAAAAAAAAAACTCATACACAAATTCTTGTAGCATCCATCTCAATAAGATGTCAATCACAAGAGGTCTGAACAATAATTTTCTTAAAACTCAACAACAAGAGATGGGATCACTTTGCAGAGAATAAGTGCTACTACTATAAACATCTGCTTTTCAAGTTTTCTCTAACCCTTTTTTTCAGATGCATCCCACCTATATATCCCATGTGTTCAATCACTACACTCAGTAACTGGCAAGGATTCAATGCAAGGCTTCCTGCTTCATGAAGGCTTTACGAAACATGACCTTTTGGTCATGTTTCGTAACCTAAAGTACTGTGGTAGTAAATACATGGATAGACATTTGTGCGATGCATGCCCACACTGAGACTGGCTGGAGTGGAATCTGAAGGCCAAAATGTATGATTTTGTAGCTCGAGCTTGTTCTTAACACACTCGGCCACCAATACCCATTTTGGACAGAACATTACAGTCTTCTGTTAGTAATAAACCTGAGAAGTCAAACAAACTGAGATAATTAGGTTAAACTTTATGCATGTCACTTTTCACTAACACTGGGATGAACATATGCCTAGAAGCATAATGTTCTGGCAAGTAGCAAGAGAGATCTACGCGGACTCGGGAAAGCCTGAAAACCTGAACTCGACCTGATGGTCGTGTTGGGCTCGGGCCAATATATGGGTGCCCTCTTCGGGCTCGTGTTGGGATCAAACCTCTTTAATTCAAGGTCCGTTGGACCTATGTCGGGCCTGGATTGCCAAGTAAAGACCCAGCAACCCAAACATGCCAAATCTAGAAAATCAATTTTAAGAACTGCAGTAATCCCCATGACATATTTGAACATGCAAAAAGCGGCGGAAAGCGAGAGCAAATTTAAAGATTTTTTTTCCCCTAAAACATTACTTGAATGTAAAATAAATGACTGTGTGAGGTTAGACTCCTCTTTTTTATTCACTAGAGGTGGTATTATTTCGTAAACTAACAGACAGCTTCCCAAACACGAAGCTCCTCACTATGGCAAAGTTCACGCAATGCATGCAGGGAACTAGTTGGTCATGGAGTTTCGGTTCCGATTGTTGGACATGTAAGGCGGCGTGGCCGTGTGCCATGTGGAGTCGTTAGCATTGCGTACAACTGCAATCCATGTGAGGGTAGCATTCTTTTTATTTTATTTTAAATTTTTGTTTTCATTACTTACCGATCGTGTCTGTACTTAGTGTCACTATGTCACTAGAGAGTTTTAATAGATTGTGTTTCCAGGCGACGCTATGTGTAGGAGCTCATGCTGTCGCTGGAGCTTGTGTTGCCACTTCGAAGCATGCTCTGAAGCGTGCGCCCAGAGCCATAGCGGGCCTCTGAAAACAATCTACTAAAACTCACTATTTTAATATGGTCTAAGCGCAAAAGCTACAAGCGTGAGCAGATAGCATTGAAAGGTGGCCCAGCTGCTCGAGCGCTCGTGCAGCTGAGCCGCCGTTCAACTCGAGGAGCTTGCACTCGTAACCTTTACTCTTCCCACAAAAAGATGACACGAAGTATAAATTTGCAATGCATAATAGGGTGTTTTAGTAGATTGTGTAATCAGGCAACACTATGTGTAGCTTGAGCTCTCGCTGCTACTTCGAAGCACACTCTGAAGCGCACGTCGGGAGCGATGGGGGGCCTCTGAAAACGATCTGAAACTCACTATTAAGTGCTTAAACTACGAGGTTCAAATAGGGGGTTGCAATGCAACAGGAAATGCGATTGTATGCACACCATCCTATCAATCACGGCTCTTTGCACACTGCTTGGGAGATCAAAAGCGGCCGCTACAGTGTCAACCTAAGTTTTACAGAAAATCTACGCTGCAGCTGGCAAGATAGTGTCATCAGAGGGAAACATTTTGGCACAAGTGTATGTTGTTGCCATGTACGCGTACAAACGCTAAAGGCACTGATCTCCACGTGAAATGAAGATTTCAATCGGTTCCGAACAGACTTTGTTCTTTGAATTTCACTGAAATGCCATTACCCCGGTAGTCAGATCATTCACACAGCATAGCTTGGTACCGAGCATTTGAAGGGGTACTTACTGCATCAGAATGCAACATAATCGGCACATTGCGTACGGTTCGCCGTCAGCGCTGTACGCGTCAAATGCAATGACCCAAACCAAAACCACTTCGCCCGCTCCTGGCCAACTAGTTTGCAACATGCAATGCTTGCGCGGTGTTGCCAGTGTTGCATGCAGCGATTTTCGAAAGAAGCCTATCGAGTCTTCTAATATCCACGTTATTATAATAGACAGGGTTCCCGAGTGCAAATACAATGTGGCTTTATTGGCATTTTTGTGAAATAACCCCATAAATATCAGCGTAAAAAAACATTTTTGCAGTGAATGGTGCCATGTAAATCAAAGTTAGATCTAGCGAAATATTAGAGGTCGAGTGCGAGAACGTTTCCCGCACTATTGTGGCTAAATTGCCCACGCTACCAGTGGTAGTGCACCAGCAAAATTTCTCATATACAAGCCCGATGCCCATTTAAGCTAACTTTTCGCTCTCAAAACATACATGCAACACAATTCCAACACGGAATGTGTTGTTTCGAACATCAGCCGAGGACTGAATCATGGGACCACTATAACCCGCTCAATAGTCCAACTTTCATCGTCCCTCCACAAGCTATGCGCACGCTTACTAAATGCGATAAAAAATAATAACCCTCCTTTCAAAATCTTTGTGGAAAGCTCAGTTTTTTAGCGTCAGATTCACAACGCAGGGATAACAGTTCCGGTCTCCAACAAACGCTTCCTTGCAGTGTTGTTTTTTTGTTTTTTTTTGTTTGACGTATTTTTTGTCCCTTAAGATAACATACTTCCATTTAAAAAAATCCTAGGAGCCGGCCATACAATTCCTTTGGAAGGGGCTCGGGTTGGGCTCAAGTTAAAAGTAACAGTTAAGCTTGGGCCGGAGTTCAAGCCAAAGTACTCATCGGTCAGGTTAAGCTCGGGCCAACGTTCACAAACAGGAGTCAAACACGGGCCAAGTTCGAGTCAGGCCTCTATATTTCGGCCCGATTTGATCTCTAAGCACCAATCCTCTAAAAGTCTACAACTTAAAAAATCTCACAGTGGAAGTTAAAAAATGTGAAGCAAAGAGACAGCATGTTCTTAGTAAATTGCCGAAGATATCTTACCTGGTAGGACAGAATTTTTAAAGGAATTCCATACTGTTCTTGATTCAGCTGCACCATCTGCAATAAACGAAAGTACCTTAAGTCATTCAGGGAAAATGTAGTTACCTCTTAAAAGAGGAACTATTCTTCAGTCAGCCCCTAAAATCTGCACATTATATGGTCCGATGGAAGGAATGATTTACTGTGGTAGATGATTCTTACAATCATATCCATTTCTTAGTGTCATTTATGTCCCATCATACAACTACATTATGGTAATTCCCGATACCCATATAAAAAGGTATTCCAGCTTAAAGCGCCGTTCACACACTTGCAATCGAGTAAGACAGAGAGAGACAAGACCGGTTTTAAGCCTCTTGTGATGGCGGCGAACCTGGTCCGCAGCAGCACATCCGGTCTTCCACCGTCACAAGAGGCTTAAAAACCGGTCTTGTCTCTCTCGGTATTACTCGGCTACAAGTGTGTGAATGGCGCTTAATAGAGATACTGCTGCAAAATCTTACCATAATGTTTTAAATCTGCTATTACAAATTATACTCAACTAACCCCTTGAGACGAAGGCTTTGACGAGTCAGTAGCATGTACCATTAAAAGATGCACAGCGCAAAAGGACAAGAAACAAACAGAAAGGAATGCACGATAGCACCGACTATTATCTGCATTGTCTATTGACGCCCCGGCACTTATACCAGCAGCCACAATGATTAAATTTCAGTGTAAGGCAGCGCTGTGGTGTGATCCTTTCTGTTTTCATCTCATTTCTTTGCACTGTACATCTGGAAATAGTTAACTAAAGGCCCATTTGCACACTTGCGACTGCTTATGACTGAGCGCTTTGAAACCTCTTGTAATCTTTTACAACGAGAGAACAAACTGGCGCCATTTATTGGGTGGCCGCAGGACACTTTCTGTGTCAGCATATTTACTTTTTTCTTTCGTGCATCATTCTTTCCTTTTTGGCTCGAAAAACTGTTGACAATGTTATAAACAATCATTTCTCATAGATAGTGTGTACATCTGATCTTGCAAATAGTAATGTAAAACCTTCATTTTAGTGAAATGAAGTTTAGGGATCGCCTCATAGATGGTGCCAGCATGCCAACTCGTCCCAAGAGATTTTAAGGCACAACGTTCAAAGAAAATGTAAGCGTGTGAAAGGGCTTTTAGACCACTCATCTCATACAATTTAAAAAGTGAGTTTCTGATCAATAGATTCTCAACTGTTCGAGGAAGTAAAATTTCTGGGTTTTACGATCCAGACAAATGAAGGGATCTGGCAGGTCAGAGCAGAGGACTGAGGGCTAATTTTGAGCAGCTGGGGACTTGCTGACGTGGAACCAAAATCTTGGTTACATGGCGCCTGCTCCACAATAAGCCTCCGTCTGGCTGCGGGGCAATTCTTCTGGGATTTGAACCCGCCCACTGAGGATCCATATGCCGGCTGTTTGTTTCGAAGCCACCGAGGCGGCTTCAACTATGTGCATGGCTGCAGATATCTATATGTGATGTCACTACAGCATCCATTACAAACAATGCAGGCACCAATGGCATGGGATCGCAATGTTTTTGAAGTGCCATACCCTCGCTAAGCCTTAGTACTTTTTCTTAATGTCATTAACATTATTATCGTGGTCCTGTTGCTGCATAGCATTTAAGTTAGCGAGAAAAAGGTTGTCTTTTTCATTAAGTTGTCACCAAGATGCTAGAACTATACAATACTCACAGAAGGGAATCAAATGATCGCCTTCTCAAGCCAATGAGCAACAGGAATGCGCTGCCCCGAGAGAAGGGCGTCCAGTGTAGGAACTGTGGAAAAAATGGCACTGACCTTGAGTGAGTCGTCCCTGTAGCCTGCTATGCCTTCGTCAATGGAGAGGAGCACTAGCTTCAGTCCATAGCCATGCCTGTCATTCAGCAGTTTCATCATATAAGCGAGTACAGTGGAGTCTGAAGGAGGAACAAAGGCGGCAGTCTCAGAGCACGCAACCAGAAAGGACGCAAGCTGCTTACCCTTTCCTCCCGATGCAGCAATTGCCACAAAGTCGCCAGGTGAAAAGAGTTTGGCCCTTGAGATTGTTTCATGGACTTCGGTCTCAAAGGCGAGGAAGAAGCAGTCTTTGCAGAGCGCATCACCCTGTACAAATATGCAATACCTTTTAGTTTGTCCTTCATAGATTCATGGTCCAAGAAAAGGCATCCCATTAATATGCCATGATCATTATGATGTACATCTCCTTAATGTTTCCTTCTGTCACAAATAAAGGTTAGACCCAGTGATGAAAGCAGTCACTACATATGTACAGAGGACAGTTTTACGTGGGTGCAGCCTTCTTTCACAAGCTGTCGACAATATGAGTGTAGACAGAAATGTTGGCCAAAGTGCAAAAATATCTGGCTTATTTTTTTATTTTTATTTTTTAACAAGGGTTACAAAACTTAAAGGGACCACGAAACAACCTTTTCACTTTGGCCAACCAGTGCTCAGAACAAACATGTCAAAAATAATCTCATGGGAGGATTAGATTGGAAAACCTTTATTGTTGGCTAGAGTTACAGGTGGGTATGCTGATCTTGCTAGGTGGCCGTCAATGGAGACTGGCGGCGACCTCTTGGGCTCTAGTCACGGCCTGGACTTGGGTTTCCAGGTTGGAGCTGAGCAGCAAGTTCTCCCACGGGCCTGGGTGCGCGAGCCTCTGGAGCGATAATGGTGGGGGATCTATCGGACAGTCCCAGAAGATGTGGTCTACAGTAGCTTTGCCATCGCATTTACTGCACTCAGGTTTGAATCTATCTGGATATGCATGGCTTAAGACTGCAGGGTTAGGAAGAGTTTTAGTTTGGAGTAGTCTCCATAGTAGCTCCTGTTCTTTGGTTGCGGAGGCGGGAAAGTTAGTCTTTCGAGCCTGTAGTGTTGAGTGATCTCGTGGTAGGTGTTAAGGCCGTCTCTTGTCAATCTGCCATTCGAGGTATCATCCACAGCTAGGCTGATAGATCCCCGAGCTTTATCGTGGGCTGCCTCGTTCCCCGGGTTTGGCGAGTGAGCTGGCACCCAGATCAATTCCACGTCTTGCCTGTCTTTCAGGTAATTCTTGAGAATTCCCAAGGAGATGGGAGATATGCGGCCCTTGGTGAAATTGCCAATGGCCGCTTTTGAACCACTGACAATCACCCTCGCTGGTGGGTTTGTTAGCACCAATGCGATTGCCGCTACTTCGGCTATTTCGGAAGAGTTTGTAGGTACAGTCGCGTTTGCTACGAGTTGGCCCTCCTCAGTCACTGCGGCGATCGCGTACGCTCTTTTGGGGGTTGGGTAAGCGGCCGCGTCCAAGTAGACGACGTCCGTTCGGCCTTCTAGTCTCTTGGTTAGGGCTTGCGCCCGGGACCTGCATTTGCCCTTGCGGTGGACGGGGTGCATATTTTTCGGTAATGGTTTTAATGTGATTGTCTTTCTGACGTTAGACAAGATTTTGCAGGTGCCCACATTGAGTGGTGCCGCATTTATTCCCAGTCTTCTCAGGACCGCTCTACCCGCATTGGTGCAAGTGAGCCTGAGTTCTTGCATTCTCCGATGGGCCTCAGTCGGGTCGTCTAGCGTGTTATGTAGGCCGAGTTGCAGTAGCTTGTCGGTGGAGGTATTGATGGGTAGACCTAGGACTGCCTTGTAGGCCTGCCTGACGAGTCCTTCGATTCTGAGTTTCTCAAAGCTGTATAATTCTGGATAGGGGAGGGCGTAGGTCATTCTACTGATGACAAAGGCCTGCACCAATCGGCATAGATTGTTTTCCTTAATGCCTCTTCTCCTGTTTGCCATGCGTCGGATCAGTCTAACGGTCTGGTGGACCGAGACGTTTAGCTTTTCAATGACTTGGGTATTATTTCGGTTCTCTTGGATGATCATTCCAAGGATCCGGATGGAGTTGACTTGTTTAATGACTTTGACTTGCACGTGTACAATTATGTTGGCTGGCAAAGAGCTGGATTCTTGTCCCCTTGGAATGTCTCTTTTAATTAGGAGCTCCGATTTGGGATGAGAACATTCTAGCCCTACCGCTTTGACGTAGGCTTCTATGGTATCGACTGCCCTTCGTAGGGTCTCTTCTATCTCCCCATCATTTCCTGTAGTGATCCAGAGGGTGATATCGTCTGCATATAAAGTGTGTCTGAGATTCGGGATAGCCTTGAGTTGCTTCGGTAATTATACAGGTGCAAGATTAAATCGGAACGGCGAGAGTACCGAGCTCTGTGGGGTTCCCCGACATCCTATGAAAAAGGGATCCAAGATCGTCTCGCCGATTGATATTTCTGCCGTCCTCTCGTCCAGAAACAATCTTACATAGTTGAAGGTTCGGGATCCTGGATTTAACCTCGATAGGTTAGTGAGGATGGCCTCATGTGACACATTGTTAAAGGCCAATCCGAGGATGGCCCTCGTGTTCGAGCTTTTGGGGATCACTTCCTTGCTAAGTTGAAGCATGACGTCCTGCGTGGACAGGTGGGCTCTAAATCCCAGCATGGAGGGGGTAGGACGTTGTTATCCTCCTCATTTCCTTGCAGTCTGTTTAGAACCATGTGCTCCATGAGCTTCCCCAAGCAAGATGTAAGGGGGATAGGTCTTAGGTTTTCGGTTATTAGCTTATTGCCTGGTTTAGGTATAAAAATGATTCTGGCATGTTTTCATTCTTGGGGGATTTCACCATCCTGCCAGTACTTGTTGATTGGGTCAGTTAGGGCCATCACTGACGTAAGGTCTACATTTCTCAACATCTTGTTTGTGACGCCGTCGGGTCCCGCGGCTGATGTTGTTTTGAGTTGGCTCATGGCTTGCCATACTTCCGCTGTGCTAAATTCCTTGTCTAATTCTGCGTTTGGCTCACCCTCGTACCAGGGAAGTGGGCCGGTGGATTGCATGGTGTTTAGGCATCTATCCTTGAGTTATTTGATTAAGTTGTCTGTGTTGCCTTTATGCTGGTGTACTATTTGAGCGAGTCTATTGCGTTGAGCCGTTTTGGTCCGTGTGGGGTCGAGTAAGTGTCGTAGCAGAAGCCATGTATTTTCTTACCCAGATGCCCGTTCACGGTGTCGCATACCTGTCCCCACTGCTGTCTTTCAAGCTCGAACGCGTACGCTTTTATTTTCCTTTCTAGCTGTGTTACCCTCTTGCTGAGGGTGCGATTGTATTTTTGCTTTTTCCACCTTAGTTGTAAGCTAAGGTGGGCTTCCCACATGTGCTTCAATTTAGGGCTGGCCGTGTGTTGTGAGGGTATCGCCTCTGTTTCTTTTGTGGTGGCTTTTACATCTTCTTTTAGGGCGCCGGTCCACTCGTTCAGGTTGCCGATTTCCTTTGGAGCGGTCTTGTCCCTAATTTTACGGAAGTTGTCCCAATCCGTTAGTCCTGTTTTTAATGAAGGATGTTTAAATGGGGCCGTCTGGAAGGTCGTTTCCACTATATAGTCGTCACTTCCCAACATCAGGCCCGCATTTGTCCATGTGGCTAAGTTAAAGTTTTTACTCAGGGGAAGATCAGGGGCCGTGTCCATGCCGACGCTACTATTGCCGATCCTAGTAGGCTCTTTGACGTTGTTAAGGATCGTCATACCCACGTCTTGTATAGATTGCCAGAGCGCCGTTCCTTTGATAGGCGCTTTCCGGTAGCCCCAGGCAGGGTGGTGCGCGTTGAAATCGCCTACCACTACGAGTTGAGATTTCCCTGCAAGTTTTACGCCCTTACAGATAATGTCGGAGGTTGCTTTTGTTCTGTCCTTGGGTGAACTGTAGACGTTAAGAATGTAGACGTTTCCATCTCCCTTCTTAAGCAGCGGGATTTCCACTAGCGTGTGTTGGACCTTTGTGTCCTCGATTTCGTGTTGTATGGCTGCAATGTTGCGTTGAACAAAAGTCGCGGTGACCGAGATTGTTTTTTTTGGGTCTGTGTTCAGGGGAATGAAAGGCGTGTAACCTGTTAATTTGATCGGGTGACTGGCTTCTTGTAAAGCTATGACATCCGGTTTTTCGGATCGTTGCTGAATATGGAGCTGCAGTTTGCCGCATTTGTTTTTGTATCCCCTGCAGTTCCACTGCCAGACCTTAATCTCCTGAGGTCGAGGGGCCATATTGAGTTGTTTGAGGAAGGTTACATGGTAGTTGCTGCACGAGCATTTGCACGGTCGCTTCTAGGGCTGCGAGGCGGTCGAGTGCTGTGAGGCGTTGTTATATTTCTTGGAGGGTCTCTCCGACTAGTCCGAGACTGTCTTTTCAAGTTGATCGAACCTTTCGTTTTTGCGCATAGGTGCCCGAGAAGTGACGGTAGTCTTTGGTTCGGGCTGCGGCTGACCGTCTGGGGATGGCCCGGCTACTCTCTTAGCGTTAGCGTCTCGGTCTGTCGAGGCCTGTCTTTTTAGCGTTCCATGGTTAGCGTCCACATCCATCGCATTGTTGGTTACGGAGTGCAGCATTTTCCTCTTTCAGCTTTCTAGTTTGCTCCCGGAACTCGCGCTTCCCAGCATTCGCTTGGGAGACCCTGGAAGCCCAGCTCACCTGTTTGTCGGCATTCTGGGTGGTGCTGTTGCCTCTCAAGGAGGGAGGTTTCTTGCGCTCGTTGCTCTTGCTTCTCGAGCCGTTTCTTCCGCAGTCGTTTAGGGGCGGGTAAGAAGCAGACCTGTCTCTCGACCGACGTTTGCCGCGGCGTCGGTGCGACGACGGTGTTCTGGATCTTGAGCGCCGCCGGGGTTGTCGTCTTCTTTCAACGAGAGCAGGGAGTACCGATTTCCAGTCGGAGGCCCCTTGGCCTGGAGTTTCTTGCGTTTCTCGACGAAGCGGTGCTTGCAGTTGCGACTTCCCGTAACATGCAGACGTTCGCAGATGATGCACCTGGCCTTGCAGCTCGAAGGGCTCACCCTCCTCCGGTGGCGGGTGCTCCTCTCCGCAGCAATGGCAGCGTTGGCTTTTTTGTCAATAACACACGTCGGCTCGGTGTTCGACCGTGCGACAGTTGAGACATGTTTCAACCCGTTCTTTAAATGGATGGCAGGTGAAGAGGCCTGTTTGGAAAACCATTTCCTTCGGTGGTTTGATGCCCTCGAAAGTGATGATGACCGCTCTGGAGCATCCCATGCGGCGTGCGTTGACAATAGGGAGTTGTGGATTTTCTGTGATGCAGTAGTGGAAAATTTTGTCGGGAGTCTTGTTGCCGAGGGCTCCGGAAATCACCACCCATACGGATTATTTGGGCGTGGGGAAGTACGCCGTGACTGGGTAGTCTTGGTTGTTCATTGCAAACCCTGGCAGGCTCCGATAGGCATCTGCTCGTTCTTTCACGGGAGTGTTGATCGTGAAAGTGTTGTTGTAGGGGATGATCTGCAACCTGTCCTTCGTGAACGTTTCTTGAGGCGGGAGGTTGAGTGTCTCGCAGATTGCATTGAGCAGCTGTCCCGAGGTAGTCATGCGGAGGTTTAAGTTACTCGGCCTGACTACGACCTTGCGGTCATCTTCTGGTAGACGTGGGAGGGTGGTCTTCTACGTCTGGTTGACGGTTTGTTATGATTGATGACAAGTGAGGACTTGCCTGTCTGTTGGGCGGGTCCGGCGGTGGTCGATCCGGCCTGCGGCTGCGTTAGGCATAGCCTTTTTTTTTTCCGGATCCGGGTTTGGCGTGCTCTTCCATATTTTCCGCTGATGATACTCCATCCCTCTTCGGAGAGGACTGTGGGGGTGATCGTCTCGCCTTCCACGGCGTATTCCATCCTGGCAGCAGCTCTGGGAGCCCGCGGGCACAGCGGCGGTCCTCAGGCAAAATTATGACCTCCGATGCCAGGATGGGGTGGCTGCTTCGGAGTTTTCAGGCAGAATCGGGGGCCAGGGCGTGCCTCGCGCCAGGCTCATCTCATGGGAGAGAACTACTAAGCGGTTCCTCGACTGCCAATCTGCGTGTCACGGTCCCTCTGATCCTTTAAAGGGCCCAGGCTTTAAGAGAGAAGAACTTATGGATGTCAGTAATGCTTGCTTACTCCAGGGGTTAAAAAGTTTTGCAGAAAATTATCGTTTCAGGACTGCGCGCAGTACGAGCCACGGGACGAACCGGGTATGGAGGCCGGACGATGGCGACAGTCGATGAGTAGTGAAGTAAAGTGATCATGCTTTTATCTCGCGATAATTCTAGGTCACAATTTGTGGGTTACTTACAGTTTTGGGTCTTTTGAGAACAGCGCTAGCTGCGCAACAACGCGCACACGGTTTCATGTTTTCATCACGTTTTCATTGAGGGGATGGATTGGATTGTGTTGGATACGTATATCGTTAGTAGGCCTACAGCAAGGAGAAACTAGTGGCGCCTCTACCAGGCATCACCTGCTACTGCGGAAGAGAGGAACTATGCGTTCGAGGGTGCGGCCGTGCGGCGGTGCCGTCTGCCTTCTCGGTTTTGGTATCTCAAGAACAAGTTGAAACTTCAGGCATTCGATTCTTTTGTAGTTTTTGCACTCTACTTCTGCATGTTTCATGTCTTTTAACACCGGAATGCAGGTTGAATTGAGTTTGGAAGCTTAATAATCTCAAGCAGGGCCGTAACCAGGGGGGGGGGGGGGGGGGGGATTTAGGGGGTTCTGACCCCCCCCCCCCCCCCCCCCCCCCCCCCCGAAATTTTTTTCTGGGTACGGCCCTGGGGTGCTATGTTGCGCTTTTTGGACTCCCAGGAGACTAGGAAGAGGGAAGTGACGTCAACGACACAGCAAACGCAGATTGGATGTTGACAGAAGGAAACGAAATCAACACCCAATCTGCGTTCGCTGTGTCGTTGACGTCACTTCCCTCTCAGGGAAGTGACGTCAACGACACAGCAAACGCAGATTGGATGTTGACAGAAGAAAACGAAATCAACACCCAATCTGCGTTCGCTGTGTCGTTGACGTCACTTCCCTCTCCCTAGTCTCCTGGGAGTGCAAAAAGCGCAACATAGCCCCCCAGGTCGGTGCACTGGCAGTCAGCCGATTTTAATCTCCACCTCTGCGCACGCGCAGTGGCGCCGGTCGGCTACCGGGTACCAAACCGGGACCGGTTCTCCGGTTTGCTGTAACTCTCCATTATAGGCCACCGATGCACATGATTCATAGGCGAAAATAAGAATAAAGACACTTTCAAAATGGCCGCCGTTGTCCCCGAAACCCCCCCCCCCGAAATTTTTTTCTGGGTACGACCCTGATCTCAAGACGTTTTAGATACGAAGACGTGCTCGTGGATACCTGAGAGCACACCTTTGAGGAATTGCTGTGAGACGCCGATTCTCAGTCTTCTGCCCTTTGTTGTTTCCCACGCGCTGGTTGCAAAGACTGGGAGAACTTCATCCTCAGTCACGATCGCTTTATTCTGTTGTTTATTTAGGAATACTCGTCTGCAGCTAAACTAAGACATCGACAGAAAAGGCTGTATTCCGGTGTAGTATTGCCCGAAAGCTTTTGCTACACGAAAATTCGGGTGAATAGCAATCTAACAAAAACCGCACTAATCCCTTAGCTTAGAATATTGCGATCCCGAATAGCCATAGAGTTATTATAATGTACGCTAGAGGTTCAACTGGCGCTAGTGTGCTGCTGCAAATTGAAGCAGACAGCAACCAGTCTGAAATTGACTTCCGGTAATGCATTTCTATGGGAAAAAGCGAGTGCATTTTCTCGCTGTGCTCGATTATAAGAGCAAATATCACGAATATTCCGTACGTACTGGCACATTGGAACATTTCTCAGTCACGCAGATGAAATAATTGGTCAGTTACGGCGTTTTTATGTGAAATTCGTGGCATGAAAAACGGTGCTAAAACCGCTTCGTACATGTATTTATGTGCACTGTCGGACACTGTTAGCGCGAACACGGCATCGGCGCTTTCCACCATGGGGGATATACGTGTCAAACGAACGAAGGACATGTGGAAAACCAAGAGAGACGGCAAGAACTACGCAGTAACACTGAATAAGTAACTCGTTGTGCATGCAGGCGATCAAAATAAATTGAAAGCCACGTAATATAGTCCGATTTGCAATAAAAAAGTACTGCTTTATTCTTTCTGCTCATGAATATGTGCAGAGATGCATGTTTTGGGTTCAAATCATCAACCGCACGCTCTAAATATTTGCAAATAGGGAAAAGTCGGAAAACAGGTGCCCGATAAAAACTGCCCGGCATAGGAGATAATAAAAGGCACACCTTTCGCAGTCCACGTACTTTATTTCTTACATTCGAATGTTTTATGTTTTTTAACCGTCGTAAAGATGCACGACGGAGTCATTTTCATAGAGTGACCGGACGGGCATATTTGCTAGCGAACCTTGAACACACTCTACATTCTTTTCGATCGTTAGTTTGCTTAGAATCGTCGCTTGTCTTTACATACCTGCCATGGAACATAGGTTTGGGCCTGAAACATAGCGAAGCTTAACATCGCTCAGTGATAATGAAAAATGCTGTAATTAAAGCAATTACACTTTTACAATATTAATAGATGTACATACTATCCGGTACAACCGAAATAATAAAAGTTATTCATGTTATTTTACGGCGAAGGGACACAGGAGCACCGCAAAAGTAGTCTGGTTGCTGTCTGCTTCAATTTGCCTCCCGGAAGTCGCATAGACACTAGCGCCAGTTGAACCTCTAGCGTACATTATAATAACTCTATGCGAATAGCCTCTTCACAGAACAGACGTAACGTGTGCAGACAACGAAAGAGAGAGAGAGAGAGAAGTGTTGAAAAGAAATGAAGCCTTGAACTGCGGGCAACGATAACGCGTCTTGTTTGTGTTTGTCTGTCTCCTTGCTCTTTATTTTCTTCTTCGCCCTCCAAGTACAACTATTCCAGATTATGCATCACGCCGCGCCTTCCTACCTAAATAGTGTTTTTAATGGCAGCTCAAGAAACGCCGGGTGTTGCTACTCCCAAGCATTTCATCCTCATTTCGCAGCCAATGAGAATCGGGCATATTTGACGAGCGCAGCGGCTAATGGGAGCCCCGTCAACGCGCGACAGCCAATAGAACAAATTTTAATGGCTCCTATTGGGATCGCGGAATCTAGGAGCCGTTTTCGCGCTTCAAACTGATGACGTCAGCTCACTCCATGAGACAGCTAATGCTTTCGCATTATAGACGATTGCAAGCTGGGTGACTGGCCGCCGCCATGTCTCTGCTCGAGCAGGCACGCCCGTGCGATTACGAGCTTGCCAAAGTTACGTTCACCCGCGCGTTGCACGCGCTTGCACGCATGGGGCACCACTTGTGGCGCCATGCTTGCAATTGTCCAACCTGAGAACAATCTTTTAGCTCCACCCACAAGCGCATTGCGCCCATCTGAAGTGCCTCCGCCGCCGAGAAAGTAGTTCGCTAGCAACGTTGCTTTAAACTACTACAATATTTATTTAATTCATTCAGGACATTTAAATAAGTTAGAATACGTTTTTGTCAACGAAATAGCTGTTTAGTAAAGAAAGAAAGTCATGTCCAATGTACCGTCTTCCCAATTCATTTTCTGTCCAAGATACTGTCTAACATAACGTCTTCCAGCGCCTTCGATTGAGGGAAAGCGAAGCACTTATAGTTCCTGCAAATAATAAATATTTAGTGATTTACTTAGTTTTTTGGGCTTTGCGCACGAAATGTGTGCCTTTATTTTGTTGGATGAATAAAAACAAGAATAATTATACTTTTCGGGTTTTGACAAATCGGCACCCTCCCAAGTCATCGACACCACCACCGCGCCCCGCTCTCTTCGTCTTTGTCCTCCTTGTCTTTGTCTCTTTGCCTGCGACTGATAAGCACGGCAATCTCAGCTCACCCCGCGGAAACCACAGCGAATTGAAGCAGCGGTGCCGGTACTATGTTGAGTGTCAACGTGGGGCAGAGGCGACAGAAATCCAACGAAGCAGACGACGTCCGGCGTAGCTTCTCCTCTCAGCAGTGCTAAGCCTCGCGCCCGCTTCATAATTTTCGTTGGCGATAGCGTCGCTGGATTCTCACGTTGTCGCGCAAAAACCGCTGCAAACGCAAGCCGATACCATTAAGATTTCGTGGCGTAACCTCGGGCACGTAAACACGGCGCAAAAAAGCAGAATAATTGTCACGAGAAACTAGCGTCGCATTGCTAAGGCCAGCAGCCATGTTGAGCTTCTTTTTTTTTTCAAAAGGATCGCGATTGGTCCACGGAATCGTGACGTCATGAAAACGATTGGCTGGCGTTTCTCGGTGTGGGATTACATTTTCCTCTGAGAGGCATTTCCGGTTTTTTCTTAGCTTGCAACCGACTATAATAAGTTCTAGCTTTCTGGTGATGCAAAGGTTCATGGTAATAAAAACCCGAGACTCGAGAACACAGAAGGGAACGAACAACAACACAAATTCAGAATTTATTAAATTGATCATACTAAAAAACGTGTGTACTTCGCCAGAAGCCATGAAGAGATCCAGAATGCTTTCACTAAAAAATGAAGCATGTGATGTGACATATGTACCATAATATTTCGTACGCGTCATGTTTAGTTCCAAATCGTTACTTCATTTAAGTACGAAGTATTGAGCGTGCTAAGCTGCTTTTTGAACTGGTCGCAACGGTTCGCACGAAGCACGGACGTGTTGGTGACTTCCGGTCGTATCTAGACGCAAGCGTACGTAAGCTTCGTAACGTAAAATGTTGCTGCGTGATCCAGCCTTCGTACTTCCAATTCTTTTATTTGAGTTACATGCAACCGGGGGTCGAGTGTCTGACCGGAACAAGTGCAGTGAAGTTAAGAGAAGAGCGTGAACTCGGAAAAAGAAAGCAAATAGAATAGACTAAAATAGAATAAAATAGAACACGATTTAAAAACGTTATTTGTAAATTACACACAGATTTAACAACATAAGGTCTATTCACACGATGCATCTTGTTGGCAAATCTTTTGTCGCGAAACTAGGTTTCGGGAAACAGATTCCCCGTCTGAACGCGACCGAAAAAGTGGCGCGCCTGCGAAAAAAGTGGCGCGTGTTCCTCGCTTCTGGAGCAATTTTTCGCTGAAACTTCACCGAGGCCTGTCAATCACCCAAAGGAGAAACGCAGACGCTGCCAATGGCCGCTCGACTTCGCTATGACGTCGGACTTTCGAGGAGGAGCGAGCTTTTGGAGGGGTTTGATTTTTGCCCGATTCCGTATCCGAGCCAAAGGGCCAAAGCCGAAAGAAAAAAAAAAAGCAAACATGGCGACCGACAAGCGGAGAAGCGTGCGTACGGGCGAGGAGTCTTGTTCCTACTCGGTTGCGGGTGTGTGAACGGCGCTTTAGTAC